GGGGGGGGGGGGGGGAGGTGCTTCCCAGCCCAGTAAAGACCCTCCCTTATTGCTCCAGTGTTACCAAAGGTGAAAACAACTAAATCTGTTAGAACTTCCTATTTTTGAATAATATTTTTTTGTTTTAGTATACAATAAAAGACATATTATGCTCGTATTTAAGGAGGCCATAACAGGGACCTATCTTGAAGCACTTATCCAATTGGTATGATTGTGTTTTTCATTGAATCATTGTTTTTCTTTTAAACTGCCTTCCATAATGTATGTCCACATGATATATTTCAGATTGATAATAACCTAAGTGATGAACCTATTGTCAAGAGAATAAGGTATGTTATAACCTAGACCTGATTATTAACTGTCTCTGTAAGCTCCGATCAAACGACGACGAGGGTTGAGCAGGGGTAGAAAAAATAGGCGAGCACGCGAGCACTGCTCACAGGAAATGTTAAATAGCTGCAGGAAATTCGTTTGAATGAAGATTCCCGTGTCCCACTATGGGCGCAACAACATATGGATGACAGACGTTATTCCTTGAATTTAAAACCAGGGTCAGCCAGAACACTACAGTATATGTTTATGTGCATGCAGAATTAGCACAAAAATAGTCTTTTGGGTCTGCAGGAAATTTTTGTCTCCAGGTTGTGCTTCCAGGAAGAAAATTCTTTTTTCCTACCCTGGGGTTGGGAAGCGAGAGTTTGGCAGAGAATTGATGAGAGTTGACTCGATATCACCGTACGCCTAACTAAACCTCTCATCAAAATTTCAACCAGGTCAATGTCGATGAGAGTTGCCGGCAGTGAATTCTGTAATCTATATATGTATCTGGACTAAGAACTCGCGTCCAAAAAGTGAAGCCAAAGATGGTGGAAATAGACAATTCCCATTATGGAGTACTAATTTTTTATCCATACTAATTTTTTATCTTGGCCAAAAAAGTATATTCCCAGAAAGAGCATACTAAAATTAGTAAAATTGCAAAGTTTTGTTGCGAAATGTTGTAAAATGTGGAAAATATAGCCTTGCAAAGTTTGCAAATTTTGTATACTTTTGTATTGCGTGCGGAAATTGCTACCACGTTTGGGCCAAATGTGGTAACAATTTACGCACGCAAAACAAAAGTATACAAAATTTGCAAGGCTATATTTTCCGCATTTTACAACATTTCGCAACCAAACTTTGCATTTTTACTCATTTTGGTAAGCTCTTTCTAGCTGTAGTGATTTTTTTGCATCTCCTTGCCCAGTTTTAAAATTAGTCTATAATGGGAATTGTCTATTGGGGAGCAATGCCATTTCTCGGGTGCTCCGCGATTCCTCCGTATTCCATAAGTATGTAATTAAGTAAGCGTATACTTGATTCATCATATTCACATATAAATCTGAATCTTTCAATAATCATTGTAGTACCAATAACTTTACACAAAAATCATAAAATTTTTGTAAAATTTGTCTATTTAGCCAAGAGGAAGCAAACGTCGAAGGAAAGCGAATTATCGACGCGTACAAATCTTCGAATAATAGCTCGTCTCAAAGTTCGAACGATTTAAATAGAACGAAGAAATGTCCTCCTGTCGTAAAGACATACGGTACACGTTCTAAATCGTCGGTAATTGCTTCAAGTGTTCCGAAAACCCCAGCTAAAACGTAAGTACTGTAATGTAGTTATTGTGCAGTTTGTATGACGGTTGAAGTACGCAGATGGCTTCGGAGACAAACACGTCATTTAATTAAGAAACGATGTTAACTTTATTTATACCAAACTAGACAGCTCTATCAGTTCTTCTTTTCTCTGTAGGTCCAGTAAAAAGGTCCATCTTTTATTCGTAACTGTAGCAGGAAACCCAAACTAAACTAACTTTATTTATATATATTAGATTGCTCTATCAATTTTAAGCTGTTCTTACTAAAGGTCCACTAAGGATCGTCCCTTATTGGTCTATAGTATTACTAATAGGAGGAGATATCTTAAATCGTCTAATACCCTTACCTCCTTAGGGGGCTAACTGTCGTTAACAATGTTTTTGTAGAATCTTAGTTTACCAACCATCCAGCAAACTTGATGGAGTAACAATCACTAGTGAAGATATGTTATGTTTGGAACCTTCAACATACCTTAATGATGTTATCATTGACTTCTTTTTCAAGTACGTTAACATTTTACTATCAGTCCTGAACTATTTTTCCTACAGGTGAAGTACAGAATAAAACTCGAACTGAACTAACTTTATTTATGCTGGATAGCTCTATCAGTTTTAAACTGTTCTCCCTAGAGTCCAACAAGGATCATTTCTTATTGATCCAGTGTTACTACGGGAGGAAATCTAAACTGAACTAACTTTATTTATACTGGATAGCTGTATCAGTTCTAAACTGTTCTCTCTAGAGGTCCAGTAAGGACCACCCAGTGTTACTTTAGTAGGAACCTGAAACACATGGTTTGGTAGAATCAAACTAACAGCAGTCTTCCCACATTTGACTAAGGTGAAGTTATAATCAAGCAATTACACATTGCAGAAGTGAACGGCTTATATCCTAATTAAAGAGTCTGTTACTTAATGTTTTCTTAGAAATGAAATATTTTATTTTCCCAGGTATATAATTGAAGAAAAATTGACTCCGGAAGACAGAGACAGGCTGCATCTCTTTAGCACATTCTTTTACGACAGACTAACTCAGAAAAATACGAACTCTGATGAACCAAGGTACGTTTGTCTGAAATTGTTCTTGATCTGACGATTGTCCTACCGAAGCCCCCAAAGAAGCTCTGAGATGTAAACAGTGTTTCAATACTTGTTTCAATATTTTATCAGAACTCCAACAAGTATGCATCGTATGGTAAAGTCATGGACGAAAAACGTCGATATATTTTCGAAGGATTTTCTTATCATTCCCATTAATGAAAGGTAGGTATAGTGATCTAAATTCTCTGCTATGTTCACTGTTTTACAAACTATCCAGCCTTTTGTCTAATTGTTTCAATTATTTGTAGTTCACATTGGTACCTCGTGATAATATGTTATCCGAGAATGGTTGTGGATGATGCCGAGAAGGAGGTGAACCAATTAAGTGATGAAGCAATGTGTCTTGACACGACTCAGGTTTGTCCTGTCTTTATGTCACTTGGTAAAAACAAACCTCTGCATGGCTGTGTCTTCCTATGCAACATTCATTGACATTTACTTCTGCTTTATCTCTCTAATAAGTCCTCTCTCTAATAAGTCCCCTCTCTAATAAGTCCCCTCTCTAATAAGCCCCTCTCTAAAAGTCCGCTCTCTAATAAGTCCCCTCTCTAATAAGCCCCCTCTCTAATAAGCCCCTCTCTAAAAGTCCGCTCTCTAATAAGTCTCTTCTCTAATAAGTCCC